GTCAGTGCAACAACCATGTGCGTTGCTGAATGGTGAAGACAGAATTCTTGGCATTAGTCATGTGCAGGCACATAGTCGTCTTGTCCTGTTAGGAAAATTGTGCTTTTAAAAACATAAGGCTCAATTCACTAAAAATATCTTCTATCTTCCAAGCCACACAAGGATTCAAGCCACAGATAACCTAAGTCTCAACGTCTCCATCAGCTCTTCATTAAGCAGTAGCCGTTTTGTCCACATCTGCAGCTGTGAATCATACACAGTTCATGCTAATAAGTTTATTTCCTTTACAGTAACTTATTTAAATAACAGGACCATCAAAACTACTGTATGTTTGGAGGTTGCTATATTCCTAAATACAGCCAACAAGTTTGAGTTTTGTTTTCATTGTTATATTCCCCATAATGTCATGTGCGGATGCTATTTACTACCTGTGTTTGTATTGTTTTCTCATAAACTGCTGAACAGACTAATGAACTTATAAATACTTCATATCAATGCATTTTTTTTTCTGGGAAAAGAAATTGAGACTTACTGGTTATCTTGAAAATCTGATGGCATTTCTTTGAAAAGGTCGTTGTCTGTTACAACAAAACAATCATGGGATTTCTGCTCAAGCAGGAAAAAAAATGACTCATTATTTCAAAAACTGTTTTACTGTCAGTCCAGAGAACAGATGAAAGTTCCGACAATAGACGAGGGAGAGCAGGGCTTAGCTGGGTGTTCAAGGCTCTGCTTTGCTGTGATGCTTTAGCAAAGCTAAAGAAAGATGCGCTGGGGCAACGTCGCTTGTCCACCCCCGGTCCCGTCGCTTGGGCTAAATGGGACGGGGAGGCTGTTCCCTCCCTGCGGAGAGGCCGCTGTCGCCTCCTGTCCTGCCAGCTGAGGGAAGCTGCTCCCTGTCCACGTGGCACCTTGTTGCACAGCACAGAAATCTGGGAACCTGACATGCAGCCCCGCCGAATTCAGTGGGAAGCGGATTCTGTTTAGACCCGCATCTCCCCAGTCGAGAAGACTGCTCTGGATCTCAACACTCCTATTTTACAAGAAGCAGCTGTGGCTTCAACTGCTGTTTCCCACTTAGAGCCCTCTCCTCATAAATACAAAGCAGTTAGGCACTACAGAGTATCTCAATTAGTGAAGCCTGGATCTAAACGGGTAAACGGGAGCTCTGTGGGATCACGATTACCTTGAAGGTGCACAGGCAAACGGAGACGTGCACAGAATTTTAAAATAGGGAAAAACCTAGAAAATTGTTTTCCTTCACAATAAAGTTTGAAATAATAACCAAAAAGAAATACTGTGCACACAGTGTACCTCCTATTAGAGATCAGATCTAAAATGAAAGACCTTGAGTTATACAATTAAGTATTGACTTTGTTGATCTATATTTAATTCTCATAGCAATTTACTTGCTTTTACCCAACAGTGTTTCGCAGTTATACTTCACTTGAAGCAATGCCCTTTTTGCTTTTGTGTTAATCTAAAAAACTAAATTGCCCTGTGCATGAGAGCCATAAATAAAGTTCATTTTATTCTTGTGTGTAACTGATTCTGAGCCCCTTAAACTGCTGGGTAACTAAACTTAGACAACTGGAAAATACATTTATCTTGTAGGAAGGCTCATTGCTAATTCTCAGCTCTGGATGCCCTGTAAGCAAAGCCTGGTTCCAGGCAAGGGGAGTTCTGTGCGTTGTGGAAACGGCCTTGCTGCTGGATTCCTTCAGCTCCGAGCCCTTTCTACCTGTGCCCATCCCACCTTTCCTTGTGCCTTTCCATTAGACCCGCAAAGTCTTTGTGCTGTTCAGGAGGGAATGCAATCTGCCCACATGTAGCCGCTCATTTCTAAAGTTAAAAGAAAGATCTAATTTGATGTAAGCGCAGAAAGAGCACCTATTTATGCTGTACCAGTGTGACTGCGGGCGAGCTTTGTTTTCCTCATTTGCTGTGCTTGAAGTGACATGCCAGATTTTATTGTGTCACTAATGGGCTTCAGTTATTCCCTTTAGGATGGTGCCGGCAAGGAAGCAGTATTCCAGCTCGTGACTCACCGGGTTGTTTGGAAGCGATGACTCCTCTCGAGTGTCTGTGCTGGGTCAGAGAGTCTCCCCTCTTCTGACAACCACTCACTGCTCTGGCTGGCAGAAAATCTGCTACAGACTTGAACAGCTACTGCTGCCCCTACCTAGAGGCTGTAAATCCGGGGTGGTATGCATGAGAAATGCCTGTTCTTAGCACAATTAGCTTCAGGATTTTCTATATGGAAAACACAGTTAGCGTAAGTAAAATAAGCTCTGCGCCGATCTGCGCTAGGACGGTGGCCCAGCGCTGTTTCCTTGGGTGGCAAGACCCACAGACAGCGTCGCTGCACAGAGGGTCTGGCCACCCACCAGTGTAAGACAAGAGCCCGTCAGAAAGGCTGCTGGGAGGAACCTTTGCTTGGTCACTACTCACAGGGAAAAGATTTGGCTGGAACCAGTGACCTGGAGCCTAGGGGCTCTGCACGATTCCCAGATACCGCCCAGGTCTCTTGGATACACGACGGATGGATCTAAATACTCTCTGGTAATAACTTTTCCAAATAGTGTCTTTAATAACTAGAGAAACGATTATTGAAAGGACGGGGGGTAACTCTTTCTGAGACACCAAATTTATATAAATTATCAATGGCCTTTCACCTCTAGGAGTGTACATTATTTCGTTACTCTGCAATAAGAATGATTTGATGATTATGGAGCTTCTTAGATTAATATTTATACTTAGACTTTTATTTATTTTTGCTCATAGGATTCAGGATGGGAATGAGCTTATTTCTGTATTTCAGGGACTTTGTATTTACAAGTAGCATTATATAACATTTTATTCCAAATATGATGTAATTTAACAGATTATTTAAGTGCAACTATGCTCCTAATGAGAATGAGAGAAGTCCAGTCTAGATGATACAGCTTTCTTATTTGATTATAAAATTAGCCGTGTTTGGCCCTAGATGTCATAACAATAGGTCCTAAGTGGGTTATACCACTCTCAAGTGAAAAAAAAAAAACCAACAAAGTATGAGTTGCCAGATTAGATGAGCATTATTATTACGTGATACATTTGTCTTGCATGCTATTACAGTAATGTGTTAAAGGAAAAGATAAATATTTTTGACAAAGTGATTTAAGCAGACGTTAAGACATATTTAATGAGGGCAACTGTATGTTCTAAAGCATCTGTAACTTATTTCCAAATACAAAATTGTCTCTATTTTAATAATAAAAGTTGCTATAGCAACTTTCGAAATTACTTTTTTCTTTTGTTTCTTGGTGCATAATAGTAGGTGTTATAGGCTAAGAACACCTCTCTGCATTACATTTACGAGTCTCTGTCATAGCATTCACTACTCTGTGTGTCTTTTGCCAGCAGGTTTTGCTTCAACTTCACTCGGCTCAAGAACTTTGCTTAAAATTTTTAGTGAAGAATTTTGTACCCTGCAGTTGTTCTAATATATTTTACTAGCCTAATATTAAATGGCAAAGCAGGGTGCGATTAAGACAGGATTTTAGTTCAGACTGTGCTTGCAGACTATAATAAACCGCTGATCTACATGTATGTAGAGCATATGGATGAATTCATGCCAGTCTCTCCAGACCCGTGCAGCCTACGCAGCTCCTCGTACCAAAGAGTTGAAATTGGCCTCCAGTTGAATCGATAAGAGTTTTAGCCCAGACCTAACACCAGTATTGACTTCTTGCAGACCCTAGTCTTTGCTAAGTAGCCAAGTTCAATTTATCAAAAAAGACCTGTGAAGTGGGAAAAAAATGTGTGCAAAGAAAGATCATTGAGTCATTCATAGGATAAAGAATGTTAGATTTAGTATTTCAGAGAGTAAAGAGTGCTGGAATGTGTTTTACTGATGCTATGTCTGAGAATTTTCTCACTTGGCCTACACAGAAGTGAAGCAACTGTTCTGTTTCAGTAATATATCATATGTTAAATGAGGGCAAAAAGAAGAACTTTTAAAGCTAGGAAAGTAGGGAATTTCTGTTCAAGTGCCCTAAACTTTTATTAGTCCTTATCACCAAGTGCTATGTTCCTTTACTTCAGAAAATCCTGTTATTACAGATATTAATACCTTAGTCTTAACTCTCATTTGAAAGCTGCATCTAACATAAGATCCCCTGAATTGTTTTGGACTGTACATTAATGAATGAACCAACCAGAAGAGTGCCGTTTACTACGGCTAATGTCTCTTACTGCTTCGCTTAAGTTTATCCAGAATGTTTGATACAAATACTAGCCCCAACCAGACAATTTTAGCTTATTAAAAATGAAAAAAGGACAACATAAACAACCATTAGATAAGCATTTTAATTTTTATCTAACTAGCCATAAAAACAATAAACTATTATGGCCATATACTACGTAATACTCTTCCTCTTGCCCACGATTTCCAAGGAATAGCAGCACAGCTGGCACAAAATGCGACTTATTTGAAACTGGAATTTTTCCACATTTTCTAATGACCCTTTTTAACTGTGTATTTATTGACCCAAATCATCAATGTATCTGGTCATGCTGTATCATTAGTGAGCTTAGGGGGGAGAAAAAAAAAAAGAAAAAAAAGCATTTTATTTTCTATCTAAAATAGTAACGCATTGGACTGACAGGGATTTACTAATTCAGTCTTTGCTACTTAATAGTAATAGCAAAAATAAGGAATGGCTTGCACTCTGACAGCACCTTCAATAGTCCTGCGTCTACCTGAGAGTCCTCTAAAATGCTCAATGTTATCTCACATTCTGTGATAATACTATCTGTAACAGGAGTTACACAGATTAAAAAAAAAAACACTATATATGAAAAGCTGGTTTTTATTGAACTTCTCCCTAAGCAACAATTCCTTGGTCAGGGCTCTGATTGAAAAGACCAGTGGCTAACAAAGGGATAAAATTACTCTTGCATAATCCTACTGTGTGTTTTTAATATAATGCGCTAACACGTTGTCCGGTGTTCGGCAGAATTACAGCACTTCCCAAAGCCGACCCGGCCACTATCTGATTGATGCTGGGCTGTGGGGATCCGACCAGTCCACTGTAATTTCCTGCCTTGTTCCTTTCTCTTCTGTTAGAGCTGCTTTGGGTTCATGGAAATCAATAGGCTTACAAATGCAAAATGTGAGGTTATTTTCTAGCAAGTTTCCCTTGTATCTGTAAATTATGGAAAGTGCTGTTTTCTCCTCTGAACATGTCTACTGCCTCTTTTTCTTTCTTTCCTTGTTTTTTTTTTTCCTTGGCATAATGCAAACTCTATTTGTAGATGAATGCCCATTTAAACATAGACCAAAAAAACAGAAGTATTTCCTAAAGGAGTAGATGTAAATTACTGCGAAGCTGCTGCTGATACGTTACACATACAAATTCCAGGGTCTGTACTTATAATGTTGATGGCACTTAACTGTTTCGCAAATGGAGCCTTATTTGTCTCAGCAGGATCATTAAAGATATGACTTGTCCTAAAATGGACAGTATTATTCCACTTAATTATGACAGAGGCTTAAGTATATAACAGTGTATTTTCTTGAGCCCTGTGAACTCTGAATAATAATTAATGATAATGACACTAAGATAACTTTTTTTTTGTAAGAAATACGTTTTTAATACTTTCCTCTCTTATTTCAGAAATCGAAGCAAACCGAAGAAACAAAAGGAGACTCTCAGAATAGACTATCTAAAATTTCCCTGGAGTCTCTCAATAAATTCAACAGCAATAACGTACTTTTATTAGAAAAGGAGAAGAACTGTCTGAACAAGGTTGAAGGACAAAAGGAAGAAAATGGGAAGAAAGAAGAGGCTTCCTTAAATAACTCAGATCGGCAAGATGTAGACAATTTGGAATCCTTGAGTGATTCTTTATACGACAGCTTCTCCTCTTGTGCCAGCCAAGGCTCTAATGATGTATAAAGCCAATTCCAGTGGGCTGTGAGTGGAGCACTTAAGGAGCTGAAAGAAAGAGGGAAGCCAGGAAAGTGGAGAAGAGACAATTGCTGAAAATTCTCCCTCCAGAGGGTTGTATTCACAGCAGGGTGTTCCTGGCTTTATTTTTTTATTTCTCTTTTTTTGTCATGACACAGCAATAAGGAAAGGCGGCGCTGCATTCATCATGATGCGTGAGACTGAAAATGGAAGAGACAAGCTGTTCCACACACACAGAAGAAAAGTCTTAATTTTGCACTTTTATGAATATTTGTATAGATGTAAATATTTTGGAAAAATATATTTGTAGGGATAAATGACAGCAATAAATTTTAAATTGGTGCTATGCTCCTGTAATGGCAGATTACTAACTTAAAGGAATTGATGTTAATATTAACAAGGAAAGTTAGTAGATTAAAAAGGATTTATAATTGTTTTAGTCTTAAAACTGTATGTAGAAACACTGCGTTACTATAAACCTGAGCCTGCCAAACTTGTCTGTAACAAACTTTCTCGGTCTCCCTTTTACAAAACCCATCTGAATTTTTATTTTTTAGTGCAATGCCCTGTATGTTCTCCAGGGAGGTAGGCATTTGAGTTATTACAGTTTCACGACAGGTGTCTTATTTAAAGAGGCTTCTGACTTTTGGCACAGCGAGAAAATGAACAGGTGAGAAGGCTTGGTCCTGCTAGTGCAAATGCACGTCTGAATTGACTCCACAAATCATGGGCAGAACTATTGGAAAGATCAGGGTCAGAGTAATTCCCTGCCCAAGCAAATGGGAGTCGCGGACGAGAGAGACCTTCACAAACTACCCTTTAGTTCGGACCGCAGCACAGCCGAGCTACTCGCGCCTCCTCCTCTGCAATCGTTTCCTGCGGATTTCTGAATGTAGCATATGGTGGTACCCCTTTTGTAGTCCCCAATTTGGTCTTACTTACTGTAAATCCTAGAAAAAATATATAAAAAATAAAAAAAAAAAGGAAAAAGAAAAAAAACTCAACTCCTATTTGTGAGCTACTTAAACAGGATGTTGGTGCTAACCAGTACTAGTTGAAACATATCTAGGAGCAGGGGGATTGGTGTGTGTTGTTTGTTCGTTTTTCTACAAAGACTGTTTATATGTAAGGGAAAGTCTATTTCAAAGGTTCTGTGTATTTTTTCTAGTTGTGAAGTATTTATAACGGCATTTTTTGTACAGCAATCTGTAAACTAGATATATTTGGGATATTTCTAGCCCCTACCGTTTCTTTAGCACATGCCTGTTAATCTTTGAAACGATATTGTATGATCAGTGTTAATATTTTGTGCAATTTGTTACTTTTTAAAGTAATTTCCAACGTAAACTTCTATTGTCTTTTTTTGACTTAAGACATCTTTCGTAAATAAAACTCCTCTTAAAAATATATGTTTAAAGAGATATTTATATATATATATATTTGGGAGTGGTATTGCATAAGGAAGTAAATTTTAATGGAACTTTTGAACGTGAGTTATCGACTTAAAGAAATGATTGATGAAGATGTTTCTGGTAAGTACATTTTGTGGGAAAGAAAACAAGAAGAAGCCTAGATCGATGGTGCAGAGGGTGTCAGTTCTCTGATGCCATATGATGCGAGCAAACTAGTTCCCTTCCAGATCCCTCGTTTCCCCTGCTTCAAAAGTCCTCGCGCCGGTGGATGAATTCGCAGCACGGCCCCTGAAGGGTAGTCCCCGCTTCATGCGGACTCCCTCATGGCAGGCAAGGTGTCGAAACGAGGAGAACTGCGCGGGTTGCCGAGGCGGGGAGCAGCCGCCCCCCTGCATGATATGATGCGAGCAAACTAGTTCCCTTCCAGATCCCTCGTTTCCCCTGCTTCAAAAGTCCTCGCGCCGGTGGATGAATTCGCAGCACGGCCCCTGAAGGGTAGTCCCCGCTTCATGCGGACTCCCTCATGGCAGGCAAGGTGTCGAAACGAGGAGAACTGCGCGGGTTGCCGAGGCGGGGAGCAGCCGCCCCCCTGCATGGGTGAACTCCGCCAGGAAAGCGCCGTCTCGCAGGGCAGCGGAGCGCGGCGCCGCTCGGCCCCGTCTCGCTCGTGACGCCCATCGCCTCACGGCTCCCCGCGGCCGTTAACGGCCGCC